GATCTGGATAAAAAATTGTTGATTTATGATGAAAGACTTAATTAAAGAGTCTAATGAAAAAGAGGGACTTGATTCATCACCATCATCATCATTATGTAATGCTGCAGTTAAGGCTGCAATGAAGAACGATCCTGACCCGAATGCCGGTGCTACGCTGCGATGGCCAACACGAGAACGTTTCTTCACCATCGGTTATCGAATTATTTGCTATTAAACTTTTCCATAGACCTATCAACAAAATAGTTGATTCTTGATCTTCTTGCCAAATTTAACTATGAAACTTAGTTAAATTTGGCAAGAAGAGCTTCTTTCCACGTACCACAATCATTTATTTATTTCCAATAAGATTTAAATTTTTGTAGTGCTAATCTCTGCACTTAAGATTGAACATTAAAATTTGTAGAAAAAAGGAATAAGAAGTTTCTCGCCTCTGTGGGAATCGAACCCACGTCTTCGGGATTCGCGATCTGCTGCTCTAGCCACTAAGCTAAATGGCTGATTGCCACATCGATGAAATTCTCAAGGTCCTTCCTTTATCTACATTGATTTTTTAGCATTTGAAGCAATGCTTGGCGCATCCATTGTTATATCCTTTCCAGCATACAAACAATTTCGAATATTTGTTAATATTTGTTGCGCTTAAGATGGCTAAAACTTTCCAAAACAGTGCGAAACCTTCGTAAAAAATAATCCTACGATGCACACTGGCACCCCAGATTCTCAATCGGGCGTTCAGATTTTTACAAAGCCCAAATGGCCGAATATAAACTGCAGCCTTCGCAGCGATTCAATTCAGATAAAAGGTTTCCTGCACAGCTGGCGTCTTTTGTAAATTTACGACGTCTCTAGGCGACGGAAAGCGATGCGAAATAAGTTTGTTAGACTCAATTGTTGGTTATATTAAATATAGTTCGTTGCCACCCGAATTAAAAATCTTCGGTTTTGGGGTTCCGTGGTCAAAGGGTGGAACGGGACTCTATTACCAAGACTCCGCTATCTGTGTCTATCTGTCACCAGGCTGTAATCTCATGAACCAGATATGTATGTGTAACCATGATAGTTAGACAGTTGAAATTTTCTCAGATGATGTAATTCTGTTGCCGCTATAACAACAAATACTAAAAAACAGATTAAAAATATTTAATGGGCTCCCATACAACAGACATGATTTTTTTGCCGTTTCATAGTTAATGGTGCATGGTTCGCACTGGTCGGTTTTTTTTAAAAAAAATGGTGTTCCATGTATGAGTGACCGTTATTACGTGATACACTTTTTCGTAAGTGACAACTCCAACTCCATCCTTATGAAATGGTGAGCCTCTTCTTAACAGCAGAAACCGTACTAAAATAGAATGAAACGTACAATTAACCTCTATATCTACATTTTTTAAATTTCTAAAAAACAATGGCGACATCTCTCGTTCGAAGTTATCGTTGTAAAACGATATTCGAAATTGTTTGTATGCTGGAAAGGATATAACAATAGATGCGCCAAGCATTGCTTAAATGCTAAATAAAAATGTAGATAAAAGACTTTAAGATTTTCGTCGGTGTGGCAATCAGCCGTTTAGCTTAGTGGCTAAAGCGTCAGGCCGCGAATGCCGAAGGCGTGGGTTCTATTCTCACAGCGACGACAATCTTTTCGTTCTTTTTCTACAAGTTTTAATGTTTAACCTTAAGTGCAGAGATTAGCACTATAAAAAACTTAAAATTTCTAAAAACTATTCTATTTAAATTAAAGGTAAACACAAAATCGAATAAGAGTTCTTTTATGGATAACAGTAACCTACAATTAGCACTACAATAGAATATGAAAATTATAACAAAAAATGTATAACTTATATAATGTACAAAATGTGTGATGTTTTTGCATTGAAAAATATTTAATTCTTCTTATATTACCGCAAGCGCTTAAGTTACCTACCGTCAGTGGAAGCAAACAGAAAATAACGATAAATTGGAAAATTATCATTCAGTTTTCATATTGACGTTGGATTACAAAGGTGCCCGAGGAACGGACAGTTTTGCTAACGAATTAAGGCGTGCTGTTTACATTAATATACTGTTTTGTGTTTCAGGAACTAATGGTTGGTTCGAACTTACGGCGTCGGGTAGCGGGTAAGAGTCATATTGGCACTTCACAGGAGCCGTTTTTTCACAAGTACGCCCGTTGTATACAGGCAGACTCGCCACTCATTATTGTATGATTTAAAATAGGCTGTCATTGCGTATTCTATAACAGTTAAAGCTTTACCAGGAAGGCCGCTATACGCGGTAAAACTTCGAGCGCCTCCTTTGACAAACCCAATGTTTATATCTTTGTTTATAGTTAATTATAACCCGTTAGTAAAAAGTGTTTGTTTGTAAAACTTAACAGTGGTAGGGCGTCGCAACAGCCTCGGCTGTTGCACGAATGGGCAGGTCCGTCCGGGTTAGTACCACGACCTCACAGAAGACCAGCGTAAAGTGGAAGTATGACAAATACTTTCGCGTTTCGTCTGGTGAGTGAGGTAGCCGGAGCCCAATTTTTAAAAGGTTGTCAACGCATCTGTAACCCTCGGGTGTAGCAGATGTCCATGGGCGGCGGTATTCACTTACCACCAGGTGAACCGTCTGCTCGTTTGGCAACTTTTCACATAAAAAAAAGAGGATACATACCTTCATCTGTCGCACGGAGGGGTTCGTGATAAATTCCTTGGTAAATAATAAGTATACTTAAATGTATAGATATGTATAAGATAACAAATACTTATAAATAATTTAATAAACGTCCCGTATTATCCACTCTATAAATAAGGAATACGTAACCACAGTCAAGGCGCTTCAGTTCGAATCGATATAAGTTTTATCGAATCAGTTTTATGTTAATCAGATATTTGAGTTTCCACGTCGCCCGGTGCTGGATCGGGCGTGGTTAACGCGAAACCTCATTGATATTCCACTTGAGCACTCGCCTTAGTTACGTTCCGAAATATATTATAATCGACGCTGTCTCGGATCTACGTCAAAAATGTATATTTTAATCCTAGAGAAAAAAGTTGTGGGTAGACGCGTTCATCACTACATAGTATAAAACAAATTCGTCCCGCTCTCTGTCTGTCCCCTATGTATGCTTAGATCTGTAAAACTATACAACGGATCTTGATGCGGTTATTTTTACTAGACAGAGTGATTTTAGAAGAAGGTTTATATACACATATATATCATACATACATTGCACCCGTACAAAGTCGGAGCGGGTTGCTAGTTGTTAATAATACCTTAAACGATGGCAAGGAAAGATAAGAGTAACGTAACAGCTGCTCTGTACCACTGCTGAGCAAGGGTACAGAGGGTATACGGTATCAAAACGCGACCTTACTGTGGATTGGTAGACTCCACAAAACTTCGAAATATTTCGTTTTTGATGTTATTTTGAAAACATGCAGGATCCCTCACGATGTATCCTTCACCGCTGAGCACGTGATAAGTCAGCACTTAAAATTGTAACCAACAATTTCATCGGTGCCGGCACCGGGAGGATGATGAATTCAGGTTGCTCGAGTATAGGTATTGATTAAAATGCGAGTTTCTGGACAGGCGAGAGCTGTCAGGGATAAAATAAAAAGATAGCTAAACCGTTTAATCCTTACTAATATTATAAACGCGAAAGTTTGTATGTATGGATGGATGTTTGTTACTCTTTCACGCTAAAACTACTGAATAGATTTTATTTAAACTTTACAATAATATAGCTTATACATCAGAATTACACATGGGCTATAATTTGTAAAAATATTGTGCAAATTGTACAAAATAAAGCTATCAAAAATACAGGCTAGTGCTATCTAGCAGATGGCTGAATTTTTTCCTACTTAGTGGACTAGAAAATATCTATTCTGGTGTTTAATAAAAATTTATTGTTAATTCCCTTTGGCCGCGCGGGCGAAGCCGCGGTTTAAGTTAGTGTTTTAAAAATTACAGCTAGAACAATAGAAATAGCTAGTATTTTATATACCTAATGAAAAACTTACAGCTAGAACAATTTTATTATATAATCAACTTGAACAAAATAAGAGCTAATTAAAGGTATCCAATGTGTTGTAATATTATGTTACATAAAGGGTCCTTTTGTGGACCTGTTATATACGCTAAACTTTACTTATGTTGTATTTCAAATAAATATAATAGCTGTTCGTGCCCTGATGAGGATATACAACAAACTTAATAAAATAGTGTTGAGGCGAAATTTAAACAATGCAACTTTTTAAGTAGTCTGGCTTCTATCATGAAACTTCTATCTTAAGTTCTGAGTCGCGGTAGCTCATTTTAATTTTGTATTAGTTTTCAGATATCTGGATATTGAGTCCTTGTTTTTACGCGAATATTAAACATGGTTAAATGAATGTTTTAATGTTTTAATTTTAATTCCCTATTTTACACTTATTTTAAATTTATTAACAAAAAACAAAACTGACTTTAATATCTCATTGAATCTATAGTTTCTATTTGATTTTGAACAGTTCCTTGATGTATCTTGTAATAATAATGAAAGTATTATGAGAGCACATCGAGTGATTCCATTTCGTTCAAAAAATCGATCCACAGTTAACGTATAAATTGGTGAACCTAAAAAAATACATAAGGTCGAACAAAAAACGCCTTCCTTTTTTAATCCGTTAAAAATACTTTAACATCATAATTTATTCGCGATAACGACAAATTATTGTAGTTTTTTCATTCATTTAGCAGTTACGATAGATCACAGCCGAGCACAAAACGTATTTAGTCAGTTTTTCGTGCCCGTGTTTTATTCGAAGCGTACACGTAAATGCGCATTGTCGTAGCACGTCGCCGAGCGAACGTTCTGGAAATCTCGCTTGGAAAAACTCTGGATCACATTCAGCGGGGACAAATGTACGTAAGCGTACAGAAAACGTCTTTGTTCTTCTGGATTGCAACAAAGTGTCGAAACAGAAAAAAAGAACGTTGGTTTCAATTTTAAATGGAACATCGTGAATATGGTGAGTCTTTGATACTGTGGTGTGTTGTCATTGTACCATTCAATTCTAATTGATTTATGTGTTCTTTATTTTTTTTTATCTTCATCTTCAAAGACGTGGGCCTAAATATCGTGTGTAATATGAATACTGTCACTTGTAGGGTTCCGTACCCCAAGAGTTAAACGGGACCCTATTACTAAGACCCTGTCCGTCTGTCCGTCTGTCACCAAGCTGTATTTCATGAACCGTAATAGTTAGATAGTTGAAATTTTCACATATTTATTTCTGTTGCCGCTATAACAACAAATACTAAAAAACAGAATGAAAATATTTAAGGGGGGTTCCCATACAACAGACTTGATATTTTTTGGTTGTTTTTATAGATAATAGTACGGAACCCTTAGTGCGCGAGTCCGCACTTGGCCGGTTTTTAAATTTATTTTTACTTCTCGTAAGTTACATTGCTACTCCTTAACAAGCCTATTAAATCCTACAACGTGACAAAGACCAATTAAACACAAACCATATTAACCATAGTACCATATTAAAATACAACTGTTACTTGTGTAGGTACTTGAAATTCTTGAATGGGTCTGCGCCGTATTTTCTCTCATTCAATCTGATATTATAGTTATTAATTGTAGTACAATTGTGTAACCGGTGATTGGGGCTTTTATCGTGATATTATCATTATGAAATTGATAGCGAAACTTGTCTATAGAAAATAATGAAATCAACGCAATCGCTTATCCCCGAAAAACAAGATAAGATACAAAACAATCCAATACATTTTCAACACATTAAATTTTAACCAAATATCGAACTCGATAAGATACTGTACGAGGTTGATCGTATTATAATTATCAATTTTACAAAAACTAGTCCATAGAATAGCAGAGTGTTGAAAATTATCGAAGTGTTTACTAAGTTACGCAGCGTTTATTAATCTTTTGTAAAAATGACCAACAAAAAAAACAAAAAAAAAGACAAGGAGATCGATAAAACTAAAAATTCTAGTGTTGAAAGAAAAGAGAAAAAAGGTGCTTCCATAAATGTGAGTATCGAAATAATAATTCTAAATTAACTTACAATTTAAAAAAAAAAGTATAAGTTAAAAGGCTTATATTTATTGTTATCTTATTGCCATAACAGTTTTGTATTCTCGTGGTAGTGATTACTTTCTAGAGGTAATATTTACCCCAATTGGTAATTATTGATTTCAGGTTTGTCTATTACTTACTTCTGTGATAGCTGCGTTGATAGCTTTCGGCTGTTTTCAAATTTATTTAAGTGTTTCAACAATACCTGAGCTTCCCACATTCGATCTTAATGTATGGTGGGGACCCAACACTACTAAAGATCGAGACACATCGATAAGGCCATTCAGAGTCATATATTCCGACGGTGTGAGTATTATCTATTAATAAATTTGAAAATTCAGATTTCTTATACCGATGTAGCGCAAGGCAACATTTACTGATGATTCGAAAACCTATTGCAATAAAGGAATATCGCTCCAACAGAGAAGATCAGGGTGTTGAGATCACATCGGTTTGTGATCTGGTAAAAAATTACCAGACCACCAACACTAATCGCTGCAATAGAACTGGTCTCGAGCTATTGCTTTTAGGATTTAAGTTGATAATTTAAAGGTTTAGGAAGTGGAATACATTTCTTCTCGTGATTAAAATGCTGAAAAATGAAATTAATGTCGGAAACCGCAGCCAGAAGTAACCGTACAATATGATTTTTCTTTAAACCGTGTGGAATTTTATTTTGCATAATAAAAAAGGAATCATCTATTTTCAAGTGAAAAGCTAAGTGTTTTACCGTGTTTTATTTTGGTTAGAGACTACTGACGTCTTTAATTGTTTAGGAATTGTCAAGTAACTTACGAACAATTATAGATCACGACGTAGTTTCAAGGTTATATTCTGCAATACAGTACGGGTTTATCCCAACCGCTGTACTAATTTATTGTATACCGCCCTTGTGCAGATGTTAGAACAACAACGCCGTTTGTTCGAAATCCACCGTAGGCGTAACCGAAGGAAAAGCTTGACTGAATCATCGAGGTACGGAGTGCACCACGACATCTTCGGGCAGTTCTTCGCTCATTGGCAATTCAAATACCCTTTCAGGGATCGTGTGAGGTACTTGAACAAGTTCAATCATTTCAAGACAAATATCCAAGGATTGGACATCCATTATGTCCACGTGAAACCGAAAGTAGATGAAAAAGTAAAGGTAGGCAAACTTTATAACGGAAACTTTATAATTGCTAAAGAATCGCTAAAATAAGTGTCTTTTTCCGCGTCGTTTTGTATGAATTATTTTGAATCGGAGATTGATATTGATTTTTAAACAAAATAGATGGGGGCTCATCACGAATAATCCGCAATATCTTTTAAAATCAAACATTAGTAGAGTAGACTTCAATACAGGATAAAAGTATCTTTAAGGTACTGTTGAACTAGTGCTATTTCATATATTGTTATTTGTGTTATATTTTCAGGTTCTTCCAATACTTCTTCTTCATGGTTGGCCGAGTACTTTTAGGGATTTTTTTGACGTGATACCAATTTTAACAACACCAAGACCTGAATATGACTTCGTTTTCGAAGTTATAGTCCCGAGTCTGCCCGGATTCATTTATTCTCAGGTACAAAAGGTCTTACTTTAAAATAATTAAGGAAAGAATTTATTCAATTGAAATAAACTCAGTCAAACAGTATTTAAATCATAGACGAAGACTTATTTATACTTGTGTAAGGAAAGACTTATGTATCTTGCTTTTTTATCTTAACTTAAAGAAAGAATAGTTTTTAATGACATAATCAGAAACAGATCACCCCCTTCATGATAGAAGTCCAAAATGTGCGGCCCCCAGTCCCCGGCGGCCCTGCTATTCCTGGCTACGGTAGCGGTCATGGTAACGGCAGGGCAGGGGGTGCTAAGAATCCCCGGCTAGGATTCGGCTACCAACGACGGCGAGTGGACCTGGCAACATACAACGCAAGAACATTGAGGACTGACGAGAAGATTACAGAGCTGGAAGAAGAGGTGAACAGGCTGCGCTGGGATATAATAGGATTATCTGAAGTCCGAAGACAGGAGGAGGACACGATAATCCTCGAATCCGGCAACCTGTTTTACCACCGGGAGGGCGACCAACTGTCCCAAGTAGGTGTCGGATTTATCGTCCACAAGTCTCTCATTAACAACGTTGTTAAAATCGAGGGTGTGTAGTCGAGGGTTGCGTACCTTATACTCAGAATATCCAAACGGTATTCGCTGAAGGTCATACAGGTTTACGCACCAACGTCGACACATCCCGATGATGAGGTGGAGGCAATGTATGAGGATATATCACGAGCCATACATTCCTCCAAAACTCAGTACATGGTGTTAATGGGAGACTTCAACGCAAAAGTAGGCAAAAGGAAAGACGATGAGCTGAGAGTAGGTAGTTTTGGAATAGGGCAACGGAACCCAAGGGGGCAGCAGCTGGCTGACTTTATGGAGAAGGAGGGATGATGAACTCCTTCTTCAAAAAGCAGCCCCACAGAAAGTGGACCTGGACTAGCCCCGATGGTTCTGTAAAAAACGAGATAGACTTCATTATGACGAACAAACGGCAAATATTCAATGATGTCTCTGTGATCACAAGGGTGAAGACCGGCAGTGATCACCGATTGGTGAGAGGCACATTGAATATTAACATCAGGCTGGAAAGATCTCGTCTAATGAAGTCCACACTTCGACCATCTCGTGCCCATATCCAGAACTCCGAAAGCTTTCAGCTCGAGCTACGTAATCGCTTCCAATGCCTAGAAAATTGCAGCACGGTGGACGATATTAACGCTAAGCTCGTGGAAACTGTCCATGCCGTGGGCCTTAAATTCTATAAAGCCCGCCGGACAAATAGAACGCAAAAACTCTCCGATCACACTCTCAACCTCTTGGGAAAAAGACGTGAGATGCGGCTGCAGTCTTTAACTGACATGTCAGACTACAGGCGGCTTAATAGGCAGATCTCCAAATACATGCGGCGAGACTTACGCAACTTCAATACAGCCCGTATTGAGGGAGCTATAAAGCGGAACCTAGGCTCAAAAGTCTTCGCCAGAGATCTGTCTATCGGACAAAGCCAACTGACTAAGTTGAAGACTGACGGCGGGGCTATCATCTCCAGTAGACCAGAGGTTTTAAGTGAGATTGTGAGGTTCTATGGACAGCTGTACACATCGTCGTTGGAGCCACACACATGTGTGAGTAACGACCCAAGAGCAAAGCTTATCCGGCACTATTCCGAGAATATCCCGGACGTAAGTCTGAGCGAGATTAGAATGGCTCTTGACCATCTTAAGAATGGCAAAGCATCGGGAGAGGACGGAATTACAGCGGAGCTTCTGAAAGCGGGTGGAGAACCGGTACTTGTAGTCCTTCAGAGGCTCTTTAATTCCGTCCTTCAGGATGGTGCTACACCAGAGGCGTGGAGCAGAAGTGTGGTGGTGCTGTTCTTCAAGAAAGGCGATAACGCTCTCTTGAAGAACTATAGACCGATATCCCTTCTGAGCCGCGTCTATGTGCTGTTCTCAAGAGTCATATTGAATCGTCTCGCTTCCAGACTCGACGACTTCCAGCCTCCCGAACAAGCCGAAAAGGCTTCAGTACCATAGACCACATACACACCTTGCGGCAGATTATACAGAAGACCGAAGAGTATAATCTGCCTTTGTGCCTAGCGTATGTGGACTATGAGAAAGCCTTCGATTCTGTCGAAATGTGGGCGGTACTCCAGGCTCTTCAGCGGTGCCAAATTGACTGTCGGTATATCGAAGTGCTGCGGTGTTTGTATAACAAGGCTACGATGTCCGTCCAAGTATAGTCCAGTAGTACAAAACCTATCCAACTGCAGAAGGGTGTAAGACAGGGTGATGTCATATCCCCGAAACTCTTCACCGCTGCGTTGGAAGATGTTTTCAAGCTTCTGGACTGGAAAGGACGAGGTATTAACATCAATGGCGAATACATCACCCACCTTCGATTTGCCGACGATATAGTCATCATGGCAGAATCGCTGGAGGACCTGGGTGCTATGCTCAATGACCTCAACAGTGTCTCCCAACGGGTGGGCCTTAAGATGAACATGGACAAGACGAAGATCATGTCTAATGTCCATGTCACGCCTATACCGGTTGTTGTTGGGAGCACTGAGCTCGAAGTTGTTGACGAGTACGTTTACCTAGGACAGTTAGTCCGGCTCGGTAAGTCCAACTTCGACGCAGAGTTCAATCGGCGAATCCAACTCGGATGGGCAGCGTTCGGGAAACTTCGGCAAATCTTCTCGTCGAATATACCTCAATGTTTGAAGACTAAAGTCTTCAATCAATGTGTGTTGCCAGTGATGACCTACGGAACCGAGACGTGGTCCTTCTCTGCTGGCCGTATGAGGAAGCTCAAAGTCGCTCAGCGAGCTATGGAGTGGGCTATGCTCGGTATTTCTCTGCGTGATAGAGTTCGTAACGAAGACATCCGCAGTAGAACTAAGATAACCGACATAGCTCAGAGGATTAGCAAGCTGAAGTGGCGATGGGCCGGCCATATAGCTCGTAGAACCGATAACCGTTGGGGAAGAAAGGTTCTCGAGTGGCAGCCTCGTACTGGCCATCGCAGTGTAGGACGACCCCCCACTAGATGGAGTGACGACCCGTGCAAATGTGCGGGAAGTCGATGGATGCAGGTGGCTCAGGATCGTACTTCATGGCAGTCTATGGGGGAGGCCTATGTTCAGCAGTGGACTCAAACAAGCTGAAATGATGATGATGAATTAGAAACAGAAACTAATCTTATATAAATTTCCAAAACAAAAATCTCAGCAACTAAACCTATAGGAGATCGACTCGAGCATCCTACGCTACTATATATTTGGTATTTATCCTTCTCATGAAACACTATTTCAAATTTTTCTGCACTACGTGCATAGTATCTCAACGTTTTTCCCTGTCTTTTTTAAACAGTGCTAATATGTTCTATAAGGAAAGTTGTACTTGTTAATTTCAAGGCGACATCAAAACGCGGCATGTCCCCGTATCAAATGGCTATAATAATGAGAAATCTGATGCGGAGGATCGGCCACAGCAAGTACTACGTACAAGGCGGTGACTTCGGCCACACTATTGGCTCGCATATGGCAACAATATTCTCCGATGAAGTGCTTGGCTTCCATAGCAACTTTCCGGTGGTCTTTTCGAAGTTCGCACATTTGGTTTGGCTCCTTGGTTCAATTTGGCCACAGATGATTGATGGGGAGAATTTCAATAAAATGTATCCGCTGGGCGAGAAACTGAGCGACTTAATAGAGGAGTCTGGATACATGCATTTGCAAATGACTAAGCCAGACACTATAGGTAACTAACATGCATTTCTTTTAAAACATAGACATTGCGGACCACTAAGCGCTGTTCTAATGATGACCTGTCATCATTATCTCCAGGCATGTAAGGATTATTACTAGTTACTACTAGTACTGTCCGCTATTATTTTGCATTTCATTTTATGTTATTTTATTTTCTTTGTTATTTTTTTATGGGACAAGGTATCGATATATTCGAGCTGTTGGTTCACCTGATATTAACTCATAACTATAGACATTTGTAACACCCGTAAGGTTGTAGATGCATAAAAACATATTTATATCTATATTGTACTTTGATTAATTACTATTGCCATTGCTATATCTAAAGTATATATTGTATTAACAGGATACGTCTTACAAGACTCACCAGTAGGAATGGCCGCTTATATGCTGGACAGGTACTTGATATTCACGAACTCATCGAATAAAGATACAGCAGACGCAGGTTTAGAAACGATACCGATGACTGATATGCTCGACAACGTCATGCTGTACTGGGCCACTGGTAGCATGATGACTGCGTTAAGACTGTACAAGGCTTGCATCGAGAATTGGGAAATTGAGCAGAAACTGGAAAAGTAAGTAGAAAGGATCTGCTTGAATTGGTAAGGACCGACTTTGAACCTCGTGATGATTTTGTTAGGTTTTCTATGAGGATGCTGATTTTGCTGAATTTTTGGTAAATTGTTCGTGCATATTTAAGGGTTGGCAATAGAAAAATCAGTTCACACCATGATTTTCCGATTAATAATAGCGGGGGCCTCCAGTTACCTTCTTCACCGAATGAAATGCAATATTATAAATCCTTTTACTCCACATCAATCTTCTGTAAAGCTAAGATACATTCTTAGTTGAGCTGGCTTATTAGTGTAGTCGGTGTTATATATAAGTTCTTGTACCACTGTAGTTGAAATTATTTATCAAATCATTCATTTTTTTAACGTTCTTAAAGCCTTTAAGTAATTATGTGAATTATTTGTTTAAGTAAAGTTAGTTTTATTACAAAATAAGAACAATTTATATTATCTTTTTTTCTCATAATTCAGTGTACCAACATCAGTGCCAACTTGGGGTCTCAGAATGAAATACGAGTTAATGCATCAGCCTGATTGGATTCTAAAATGGAAATATCCGCAACTACTCGGCTCAACTACTCTCGAAGTTGGAGGACATTTCGCTGCTCTGGAAAGACCTAAGGAATTGGCTGAAGACATATTTAAAGCTGTGAATAGGTTTTCGCAATATTATAGAACAAAATAATTTCAATGATTGTATTTCATTTAGAAGAGAGTCGATGGAAAGTAAACATTAGTAGTAGTCAACATGAGGAATTAGTTACAATTTAACAACGGGGCCAACTAAACTGACGGATACAGAAAATGTATCAAGTTCAGGATGACTGGATGTTGTTTATGGAGCTTATGGAATTTAAATTTTTATATGCTGCTTAGTATTTTTGAAGAATAGAAAAGGCCGAAGACAAAAAAAATAATCAAAATGAAATGTTTACAAAACAAATGACTGAAAATCTTAAGAAAATTTACACACATACGTCGATTATAACTTGTTATTACAAGCTTAGTGATTATATTTTCAATATTTCGAAAAAAAAAAAAAAAAACATATTTGGTTACTATAATTTTAGGAAAGATATGATGTACTTTGATATATAAATTATGTATTAATCAAGCTAGATTAAATCAATTTTATACTTCAAGTTAATTTTTTAAAGAAACGGGGCACCCATACGAGGCTGTTAAAATCTGTTTCGACTGTTAATGATTAGTACCTGGAGGACCGAGCCTTGCTCGGTTTTTTTTTTGGTAAATCATGTATTATTAATATTAATATAAAATAAATGTAAAATATAAATATTATTAATATAAAAAAATAAAAAATAATGAAAATGATCTGGTATAGAAAAAAAGTAAAAAAAAAAATGAGTGTGTAAATGATCGTGATACGAACCGCGGCCGTCTGTTTTGATTACCGACCGAGCTATTATAACATATTTTTTGCGGCGAAATTTACTATCATATTCGAATGATATTTTCCATTCCCTGAAAACAGGGATAAAAGGACATTTTCTAAACCTAGCTAGATCAATTTTTCGCCCCCGAATCTACGCACATACTAAATTTCATGAAAATCGTTGGAGCCGTTACCGAGATTCCGATTATATATATTATATATATGTGCTTCAGTTCTTCAGAGGCTTTGTCTCTGAAGAACTGAAGCACACTCTCTGAAGAAGTTGTGCTCTGTAGTCTGGGAAAGGCATAAAGTCGCTGTTGTCGTTTTCAAGACGATGGACGAGTCTTCGGAATACGCATACTAATGCGTAGCTTTCATCTTAAAGCATAACCTGGGCATGGTTCGAGATGAAACTCAACCAAATGGATGGTTATACGTGGTCAAAAAGCCAAGCTGCTTTTCCTAAACACATCATCATCATCATTTCAGCTTGCAACTTGCAACTTCATGGTCCACACACCACGTCTTTCCACCACACATGCATGCCGCCAAATTACCGCATATTTGTTAAGGTTACTCTACGATTAAAATTAAATCAGGCATCCATGGGCTCTCAGGCGTCCGGCGTAAATTAAATATGCCCGGTGAAAGTACGTCGCAGATTTTGGAGGTATTTTGCAACAAAAGGAAACAAGCGAGAATGTAGTGCTACACTTTTGCGTTTCGTCTGGTGAGTAAGGTAGCCGGGGCCCACTTTATTAAAAGGCGACGCATCTGCGACCTTGCGGGAATCGCTAGCTCGCTTGCCACCTCCCATAAAAAAGGATAGTCCACCTAAGGCTAAGTGATACAACACAACAAGATAATTATGAGCGTCTGGGTAATTCACTAGACGGAAAGCATACTTCCACATCTCATCAGTCTGCTGGGAGGCCGTGGTATTTCCCCGATTGAGCTGGCTTATTCGCACAGAAGGAGCTGTGTTGTAAGTGCTTACGTAGTAGATCGGTGCAGACAAATGAAGAAAACTAAACGGTGGCTCTGAAATCAATCAGCTCGGCAAATGTGAAGCATGTCATATGCACAATATATTTTTACTTACTTTCAATTGTTTGTGTAATGTAACCAATTGTAGTAAACGTTTCATAAAGGTTTTTCTTTGTGGTAATGATGGAACTACAATAACAAAAACATTTAATAGCTTGGAGTTTCGCGACACCTTAGTATGTCACACGTTAGTGCTGCATACGAACGCACTATACATTTAATGACACAAATTACGGAGGAACTGAGTGGGATATGATGGATAAACTGTACTAAATTAATGTTAAAGAAATAAACATGTTCAATGTTCAAAAAACTTTGACGAAACTGGACTATTTAATGAGCCTCAATTTCAAAGTGACATAAAATACTTTACACGACAAAGCAGTTGCAAATCGTTTAATGAATTCAAAGCGTTAAAACTTGTGCTGAAACGTTTCGGATTTACTTAAATCGCTTTTCACAGTCCCCAGAGGCAGGCAGGGCTTTTTATTGATTCCATCACAACTGAAACTAAATAGAAGCTGCGATAGAATGAGTTTGTAAATATTCTTCGACTTTAAGATCTGATCTGAACGTTTTCCACAGACACAATTTTACCACCGCAAATAATTATTTCTGTGTTAAATAAAACTGTTTCACAGATTTACTCAGATTACTAATCCCTATATAATGGTTATACTAAAAATACTATCAACTTATTGAATACTAGCGACCCGCCCCTCTTGAATCACTCTATCTAGTAAAAAAACGCATTTGCGTAGTTTTAAAGATCTAAGCATACATAGGGACAGACAGACAGCGGGATGACTTTGTTTTATACTATACTAGGGATCCGACCCGTCTTCGAACGGGTGCAATGTATTACACATATAAAACTTTCTCTTGCATCACTCTATCTAGTAATAAAACCGCATTAAGATCTGTTTCTTTAAAGATCTAAGCATATATACGGACAGACAGACAGTGGGACAAAACTATACAGGGTTGTTTTACACTATACAGGGAGGGTATATATTATACAGTGATTAAACTTAATCTCAATTACTTCAAATGAGCTTACAAGAAGGTTAGAGGTGTTCTTGGAGTTTTGCTGTTGGGTTACATTTTCGTAGATTAGGTTTTTTCATATGAGAAAATGTCAAGCGAGTTTGCAGTTCAACTGATATTAAGTAACCGCTACCCATAATTATTTGCAATACCCTTTCAATGTTGTGGGTAGCGGTTACGTCTCTCAGATGAAACGCCGTAGTATCTGTGAGGTAGACACCAGTCTTCTGTGAGGTCGCGGTACTTCCCCGGACGTACTTGCCCATTCGTGCAACAGTGAAGACTGCTGCGTGGGCCGCGTAACATAGTAAAAATAGCAAAGTTATTTGAAAAAATATTAATAAAACCATCAATAAAATCAGTCATGCGCTGCCCGTATAAGACTAAATCATCGCCGATCATTTAGGCTAGGCGCCCCGTGCGCCAGGCCACCTCAAGTCCGTCGAAACTGTGAAGGCCCCTAAGGCCAACAGTGGCTCATCCAGCGCAAAAAAAAAAAACTAAATCATCAGTATATTTAGCTCCAACCTGTACTTCTAATAATCGAAATGCTATCTGTGAAAATCTTTAGTAACCTACGTCTGAGGAAACTGCATAGCTTGGCTATTCATACGTGGAGAAGAGAAACTATTCAACGTTGTTGTAAGCATTTTCAACTTCAATGAAGTAACCTACACTTTAGAATCCTGAATGAATCCTAGAGACTAAAGCAGAGAAGCTATCAAAGCTGGAATGATGTTTTCTGAAGGGAACGTACCATCAGAAATTATTTTTAATATACTTACTATAATTTACTTTACTATAATTGAAATCTAAAATCATTTGATTTTATAAAGTAGCGTGAAATTAAATCTAATCCATAAAAGAGCAGGACATCATAGAAATAGTTCGAATCTCTACAGATTCAGAATTATTTTAATTGTATTTAAGAACTGATTAATTTACTTTACAAGATATCAACGTTGAGGTTCTAAATCAAAATATGACGTCATCACATAGTGACATATTGTCCTGGCCGGGTAAAGTATTACACAAATTATAATGAACTAACATCCAGATCCGTCGCACAAACAGTAGTTTCCTGTTGAACCGAACTCAGGTTGCTCGAGTATATTGAATTAAAGGCGAGCGCCCGGACACTGAGCTATCACGGCTCCTTAATACTCTAAAGAGTAAGTTATTCTGTTAGTCATTAAAAGACGTAAAGCCGTACTGATTTTTGTATTCTACTGAGTACTCGCTGTTTGACTTGACATCTCGTCGCGTGTTTGCCGGAAACAACTGCGTCTAACCAGCCGAGGCTTCCTTTGTGGAGTTCTAATCCTTTAGTTCGTTGTATTTACTCGTACGGTTTAATCTAGAATTTTCCATTGAAAGTTACTAGGTCACTCGTCAAGCTTCACGTACAAAGAGTTTAATTAATACAAAGGGATTACGGACTCCGTAATCATTATAGTTACATTATATTCCACTATATTGTATAATTTAGAAGCTTTGTTATTATTATGTAGTCGCTGCTAAAAATTGATATGATAGAAATCTTTGGGAATTGTCATTAAATATTGATAATTTTGTATGTGAATATATAAAACTACAGTAAATGAGAAAGAGGTCAGTAATGGAGCTTATTTTTCTCAGAAGTAGTAGTGGAAACAGGTGTAGTTAGGTGATTTTCGAACTAAAGAGCTTATAATAAACAGAATAGTCATTAGACCTTGGACTCTGAACTAGCTCAAGATCACGAAGCCGATGTGGGGCGTCGAATATGTGAAAGCCTTATGTTGCGGTTGTGTACTGGATAAACACAGAGAAAATTATAAAATTTTCACTAATACGACATTAAAATGCTGTTAAAAAGAGATACGGTGTTTTTTGTTCCGGTCCGAACTCAGTAAAGTTCAAACGCTTGCTATCTATCTATTAATTGTCCAGTCGGTTGATTATTAAATGTATGCAAACTGTACGGAAAATTTTATCAATTGACGGGTAATATCAGTATTGCAATCGTTGGACACCACATATACCAATAATTACATTGCGAAGACGATAGCATAAATATAAAGCTAACATTGTGGCAAATATTTCGGACACATTTTTACACAACGTTCTCTAGTCCAAAACTAAGCACAGCTTTTAATATGGGTACTGGAAAACTGATAAGCAAACTTTTCTTACTTCTGTAAATAAAT